AAACAGATGAGACTCTTTTAAGATCAACCCAGAGAGTCTGAGAGAAAAAGAGAGAAGGAAACTGATTTGCTATTTTTCAAAACCTGCTTCTTACCATAGACAGAAAGTATTGTGTTATTCATAAGTAGAAAACCCAGAACTTCAGCTATGTGATTTCATAATTCTACATGTACTTTCATTTATTTACGTCATCTTACTTCTCAGTCCAACAGTCTTCAGATATGTGTAGTAGGTCTTTAGCTGAAAATATGCTATTTTAAAATACATTTGCATGGTTTGGTATAACATAAAATACTAATGGACATTTTAGAAACTATGACTTTCTTTTTATTCATTTTAGATACATAATTCAGATCTGTAGTCACTCTTTTAGATTATCTTCCCATCCACGTGACTGGGATGAACCTCACCCTGACGGAATCCACCAATTGGGCAAAATCCCATTTTGCTGCCATTAAATGCGATGTTGGATATCTACCTATATTGAGAACTCAACTTTGCCTTAAACAGTTATTTCATACCTCCTTCTTAAAGCTTCAACAGCTTTTGTGTGTGTGTGTTTTAGCAGAAAGCCTTGCTTTAGAGAGCTTCTTATTACATAGAAGAATCTTTGCAGTTTTTTCACAAAACTCATATCTTTGCACTACAAATTTACTTGGCTTTATGTCTTTTTCTCCTCTTTTTCTGTAACAGTGGAAAACATACTTCAACCTCTGTTTTAGGCTCCTCTTACTGTCTTGATCTGAATTACAACTCTTCCTGCCTTCTCAGGGATCTTGTGTTCCTTGTTTGCTAGCTCATTAATTCCCATAGCCTTTTAAACATGTTCGAGTCTACACTAGTCAAAAGAAAAAAACTAATCTCTCCCATTTAATCTTTCTATCTACTTTCCTCTGCTTTGTGTATCCTTTCTTAAGTAATTGCCTCTGTATGTACTGCCTGTCTTTCCTCATCCTCACTCATTCTTAAGTTGGTCCCCTTCTTCCTACCCTTTCACTGAGACTCCTCTTACGGTGGCGTTATGTCTTTAAACATAGTTGCCATTCTTTAGTCATCATCTCTCAGTGTGTTGCAGCATTTGTTGGAGGATTTCCCTTAGACACACCCTCTTCCCTTGACTTTCATAGCATCACAGACACTAGCTGCATTCTTCCTTTCTGGTGGTTCTTTCTCACTTGGTTTATACCACTGTCTGCTTCAGTGGCTTCACTTGCTAATCCAGCTTTATCCCTAGAGATTCTCTGACATTCTAGATATATGTTAGATGTTTTTTCAGTTCCTAAAAGGTATTCTGCTTTCTTTTAACCTTCAAGATGTCATACTGGTTCTTCACTCTAGAAAGTCCTCCCTGCCCACTTTATAGGCCAGATTATCCTTAGCTTGTCTAACTTGTGTCAGTTTATGTCCTTTGCTTTTGAAGTCCATTAGTGACTCTAAATTAGATTTCCTTATTGTGTGCTCCTGCAACCCCCTTCCTTTTAGTGTAATAAAAATGCATTAAGTTTTATTTTTAGATGCTCCTCTTTTCTGTAAGTGGTAGACCCTGTTTTGTTTAGTTCACCATTATATGTCCACAGGTGAACGAATAAAAATCATACATTACCAAAAAAATTACACATTTTCTTTAATGATTTTTGCTTATTTATATTCAGAAAACATGATTAGTTCATTAAGAACTTTTTTATTTTATTTTTTAACATTTTTAAGCCAATGAATTTTCGAGTTCAAATGTTCCTGCAGGATACCTCACTTAAAAGAATATTTTGCACAATAACGAAATCGCTCTTTGATGTTTCTTTCCGTGAGTGTTGTAGGGCATTGTAAGGCAGGGACTTTTCCTCTTGCTTTAGCATTGCATAGGTTTTTGAATGAAATAAATTGAACTTAAGTTAAAAGTGCAACAAAAATGTGTGAATTATTGGAAATTATTTAAAATATGTGGTCCTCACATCTCAACTAAGAAAACTGTAACCTCTGATATTAACTAGCCACATGAGTAAATCACACTCTTCATTGTTTTGATCTCAGTTTCTTCATACATATTCTTCTGCAGTGTGGGTATATCAGGCACTGAAACCCATAATCAAGCAAAATACTAGTATTATACATTCTACTTTTCCAAAAGTATGTAGTCTCTGAACTGCGATTTTACAAATGCATAAATTTGAAGATACTGTATATTTAGTCATCTTTGAATTGCAAAGAATTAAGGAAATCTTATCTTTTTGTACAAACTGGAATTTTTTTCTTGCTTTTTTGGTAGTATAGTAAGATCACACTGGTATTCTAAGTTATTTAAATTTTTCAGTTAAGGACCAGGAAATGTGAAATATTTTATTGGGAAAGAAAATATTACTGACTTTGTCTTACTTTACATTTTAAAAAAGCCTTAATAGTGAATTTGGAATCCTTATATTGATGACGTGCAATCATACTGTAAATATTCACCTTCTAAAGTTACTGATTTAATAAAAATTCATATTTTTTCTTACTACACTGTAACATTATCTCTTATTAAACTAAAAGATTATATTTATGTCAAAATCAAATATTTTTCATTTCATATTTATTTGGTGTCTAGATTGTTGGCAGTAAGTTTTTTTTTAATTTTTAAGTTAAGATACGGAGTCTCCTTTGATTTACTAGTAGACATTGTAAAAAAAGAGAAACACAGTGTATATCAGTCATAACTGGCAACGGTGATTCCCACTAGCAGTTCTCATCCTTTCACCCATAAAATCAGCATAAAGTTGACCTAACATTGCCAGATCAGATCGAGTATCTGGAAAGTAATCCTCAGGGAACAGAAAATTCAGTCTTTGTGCATAAAGTTGTTGAATCGGATTATTTTTTTCAGAGCCCTTTTGTTTCTTCCTTTGCAGTACTTCTGAAAAGTTGCTACAAAGATGTGTCAGATGTGGTCTAAATCTAATCACATAGTAACTAAGTTAATCCGTTTCAAAATATGGATGCACATGATTATAATAATTTTTTGAGCCCTGAATGGTGAAATTCATTTAATGAAAAGAACTGGGATGTTTTCTACTTTGTGATTGAACCAATAGATGCAGTTTTGTGTACTTATTTGTTCTCCTTCTGAAAAAGCAGAGTATACAGAAAAAAAAAATGGTATTGAGGAAAAGTCAGGCAGCAAAACATGTTTAGATAAATTTTACAAGCAGCAAGGGCAAACTCTAAGCTATACAATAACATAAATATCCTTATTTAAGACATAGTTGTAAGAAAGTTGTCACAAATATTTTCTCAGATAGTGATTACAAAGTTGAGGTTACTTGAAAAGGATATTTTAAATATTCACATTGAAACCTTTTAGTTTCATTATTCACGAGAAAGAACTGTTCTGTATTTCTGCATGAGGATTTGTTTATGTAGCCATTAGTAATTGTATTACTTCATGAAGATAAAAACTTTCATTTAATATTTTATGAAAATTCTGTCATGCACTTTTATGAGATTTGAATCTTAGCTCCTATTATGTTACTAAAACTGCCATATAAAGATATGTCTGTTTTTTTCTAACTGGGAACATAATTATCCACAAGACATTGATGTTTGAGTGTCTTTAGGTGATGTGTAATGCATCCCACATTCGTTTTAGAAATGTATACATTTTGTTTTATGTGAGTATATAATCATTGAATATGATCTTCATAAATTGGTAATGCATTATTCTTATATAAGATATTTTAAGCTATTGACTTTTACTATTTGTATCGAAACTTTTTAGTCCTTAATAAGTAAAAAGTTTAATTGTAGAAAGCTTACTTATATATATATATATATATATATATTTAAAATACCTGAAAAACATTTTGTGGAACTTAAGTGTAAATACAAGAGGAGCCAACTCATGCTAAAAATGTTGCTAGACATTTGTTGAGTTTTAAAAGTTTTGAAATATATATTTAGATTGTGTTTTTAAGAAAGTGGTATGGAATAGTGCAAATAATGGAATCAAGCTGTAAATTTTCACTGATTCATATATGAAATGTTATCTTTGATTCACAAGTCCTTTTACTTCGAGTGGAGTTCAAACCTATCATATGGGTGGTACTTGTTACTCATATTAGTCGTATCTTGGCCTTTCAAGTGTGTGTGTGTGTGTGTGTGTGTGTGTGTGTGTGTGTTTTCACCAGAAGAAATAAAATACATTATGCACTATCCCTTTAAAACACATTTGAAATATTCAGAAGTTTGTTTTTGACAGAATTAAAAAATAAATATATGACTAAATATTTATTAGTGCTTACTAAACTAAGATCTTAGCATTTTATTGTGCTAAGTAGATGAGAAATACTTTGAAAGACAAAGAAAATGAAAAACTGGTGTGAATATTTATAAAACAATACTGATTTATATATATGAATTACTAGATATAACATGTTAGAAAAATTTCTGTGAAATGCCCTGCAAATATCAATTATATTTTAAATGAGCTGCTTTATATCTACTTACCAACTTATCTATTACTGCAAATATGAGATTTAAACACTGATATACGGGCAAATATTACAGTTTTGTAAATCTTACTTGGAATTTTAAATGGATATTTAAGGTGTATTTTGGTCTAGTCCTGAGGGCTATAATGTATTTTATTACATATTTGCTACATTTATATTTTTCTTTTCAAATTAAAACAGTATTTTAAAAGTGTAGTTAAAATAGAAAATTCAAAGTTTAGAATCTTAAAAACCTAAGATATGTAAATAAAAAGTGAGTTGCTAAAAGAAATGCAGTAATGATTTTGAATAACCTGACCAAGTTATTAATGTCATTTATTTCTATTGCAAAGGTCATTAAATTTAAAAAATCAAAATATTTAATTATAGAAGTGAATGTCATCAACTATAAATGTTTAAAGAAAAATTTAAATGTTGTAATTAAAGTAGCTTTGATAATTTTAAGAGTGCTTAACCGAGACTGTTTCTTTAAATGTGTTCTTTTGCTGCTGTTTAATTTTACATGTCAATTATTTACAGATCCTGTGGTATTGTGGAAATTCCCAGAGGACTTTGGAGACCAGGTTGGTATCACGTAATTTTTTAAAAATTTAAAGTTGAAGTATTATGATTATTGCCACTATTACTGCTGCTGTTGCTAGTGTAACTACTAGTGAACATGTATTGCTAAAATTATTTTCTCTTGATCAACTGTGAGAAAAAAAATGCATGTGTGCAGAATGTATTGAAGAATCTTTTAAAGGTACCAAGTAGATGAGTGATGAAGAAGCCCTTATTGAAACTCCTAGGGACTAGATGTTCAAACTTTCCATCATATTTTATACTTATTTATCTATAGAATATATATTTGAAAGCATCAAAAATAATAAAAAAATTGACAGTATGAAATCTTTGTTGAAAATACTCTTATTATTTTTGTGTACTTAGAAATAAGTGTAACTGCCATAAATATGTGATCATTTCTCTTTGTCACAGTAATTTACATATAGAAGTTGAGTTATCAATATTTTCTTATTTTAAAATAGTTCTTACATATAGCTTTACTTTTTAAAAAAAAAAATATGGCATGCAAGCCTACTGGATGAGTTTATTTCATTTGCATTTTATATTATAGTCTTCTGTGGTTCCTTAAATATTTAGTATGACCAAAATGATGAAGTAGTTTTACATGATACATGTAAATAGAAAAATTATTTAAACTTTAGGTTATAGAGTTATCATTTTGATGTTGCTTTATATAATACATGATTAGCAATATAAATTTAAGAACTTTTAGCCAAATTTTTTTGTTTTTTAAAAAATTGACACATATTTATGGGTACACTGTGATATTTCAATACATATATACGATACGTACTGATTAAATAAAGGTATTCAGTATATCTGTCACCTCAAACATTTATCATTTCTCTGCCGTGGAAACATTCAAAATCTGCTCTTCTAGCTATTTGAAAATATGTGATAAATTCTTGTTGATTATAATCACCCTAAAGTGTTAGGGAACAGTAGAACACCATTTCTCCTATTTAGCTCTTTGTTAACCAACCTCTGGCTGTCAGCCCCAAAGCCTTGCCTACCCTTCTCAGCCTCTAGTAACCATTATTCTACTTTCTACTTCTGTGAGACCAGTTTTTTAAGCTTCCAATATGAGTGAGAGCATGAGCCATCTGACTTTCTGTGCCTGACTTGCTTTACTTAACATAATGTTCTCCAAGACCATCCATGTTGCCTTGAATGAAAGGATTTTGTTCTTTTTTTATGGCTGAATAGTATTCCATTTTGTATGTATACCATATTTTTAAATCCATTCATTTGTTTATGGACACTTAGGTTGATTCCATATTTTGGCTCTTATGAATAGTGCTGCAATAAACATGTATCTCTTTGACATACTGATTTTTTTTCCTTTGGATATATACTCAGTAGTGGATTGCTGAATCATCTGATAGTTCTGTTTTCAGTTTTTTGAGGAACCTTCATACTATTTTTTATATAATGGCTATACTAATTTACATTACCACCAGCAGTGTATGAGTTCCCCTTTCTTTGCATCCTTGCCAGCATTTGTTAGTTTTTGTCTCTCTGATAAAAGCTATTCTGACTGGGGTGAGATGATGTCTCGCTGTGGTTTTGACTTGCATTTCCCTGGTAATTAGCGATGTTGAGCATTGTTTGATGTACCTATTGGCCATTTGTATGTCTTCTTTTGAGAGATGTCTATTCAGCTCATTTGCCCATTTTAAAATTGTGTTATTTATGTTTTTGCTGTTGTTTGAGTTCCTTGTATATTCTGGATCTTAATAATTTGTCAGATGATTAGTTTACATATACATTCTCCCATTCTGTTGGTTGTCTTTTTGCTCCACTGGTTGTTTCTTTTGCTGTGCTGAAACTTTTTAGTTTGCTATAATACCATTTGTCTATTTTTTGCTTCTGTTGCCTGTGCTTTTAAGGTTTTTCTTCAAGAAATCTTTGCCTAACACAATATCCTGAAGTGTTTCCCCTAAGTTTTCTCCTAGTAGCTTCACATATGCCATGTCTTATAGTATACAAATTTTAAGTTTTGATAGAAATAAGTACTTTTTTGCTGGATACTTGATGAGCAGGGTCCTTTCTTATGTCTTCAAATAAATGGAAGAAGACAATCTTGTCACTGTTTTTCTTTTTCTTTTTTTTTGAGACAGGGTCTTGCTTTGTTGCCAGGCGCCAGGCTGGAGTGTGGTGGTGAGATCTTGGCTCACCACAACCTCTAAAGAACTCCCTACAGTGAAGACATGACTTGGGAATAAGAAGTTTTGAGTTTGTTCTAAAGTAGCTTGTAGCTTGTAGTTTAAGATTAGAGTCTTGCTCACTCATTTTGCCATTCTGAAATACTGTTTTTTTTTTCAGTCTTCTTTTTTTCAGCTGTTTTGTCTGTTGACCCAATTACAAACCTCCTATTCCTGTTCAGATCTTTTTTATTTCTTTTAAATTTTTATCTTTTACTTTTTGAATTGCCCCTGAGCATTTTTAGGGGTTCTGAATACTCCTAACTTTGGGTTCACATAAGAGTGATAATGTACTTGTCAGGTCCAGCTTGTAATTTTTTTTATTTGGGGCTTAATCGTTGTTCTGTTACCAAAATTTGTGAGATGAATGAAACATGAGTAAGCGTCATATGTTTAGTGAAATACAGAAGTACTTAACCATGTAAAGGTGATGAACATTCATAACTTTCAGGATTCTGGTTTACCACAGTTCTTACAGACTTCTTGGAGGTTAGAGCTGAAAGGAACTTTAGGTTCATTTTGTGTATCTACTTCATTACATCTAAAGAAATCAAGCTTTCCATGGGAATCTAATCAAGGGCCTTGAAGATTGGTTTTGCTATATACTTTTTAGTGAATTTATTTAATTCTGCAGATGACACAACTAGTCTGCGTATATTTCTTAACCCTTTTCCCTTTTACTGCTTTTCTCTACCAACTACCTGCTCCTTAACTAGCCTTTTCTCTGGATTTCAGGCTACCTCAGTAATTATAACCTTAAAAAGCTTTTTATTTCACTCTTACCATGCACTGGGCAGTGTACTAGGTGATTTATATGCGTACTTCATTTTATTTTCAAATCCTTCCAGGACTAGTGGGAGATAGTATCATCCCTGAACTGAGTCTTAAGTAAGAAACATACCTGAGGTCACAGTGCTTGTAAGAGGCAGAGCTAAGATTTGAAGACATGTTTTTTGGACTCAAAAGCATATACTCTTATATTTTAAGCTTCATTGTTTTTTTGCTTGGAATGTTGTCTCAAACTTTCCTCACTTATTTTAGCTCCCTTAGAAAAGATTGTTGTGAAATTTTTCTCTTGGTATCTTTATAATTTAAAAGCAGTATGTAATTTAGTCCAAATAAATAGTGTCAATCCCTTTACCTCTTTGGTTCTATCACATGGAGTTGCTGGTCCACGTAGGCACTGGTTTATTGTATGTTTCTTGGAGTGTGCTTTCCTTCTTTTGGCAATTGAGGAACCAGTGGGGCAACTGATACGGCATTTTAGGAACTTTGATTAATTTTTTTTCCTTTTTTGATACAGTGGAAGGTTTTGTAGAGGAGAATATTAGATAAAAATATAAAAGTAAATTAGCTGGGGTTTGACACCATTTGCCTTGCTAAAGAGTGAGTTCTTCAGATGGGAGAGATTTCAGTATGGATTGGTTGTGGTAGAAACCAGAGGCATGGAAATTAGTTTGGTAGCTGTTTTAGTAGTTCAGTGAAAAGTAAGAAGGATCTGAAATAGTCAGTTACATTAGGAATGGAAAAGAGTATAAATGTAAGGGAAAAAAGAGATTGCATGAAAAAAGTTGATTGATTGATTGATTGATTGATTGAGACAGTGTCTCACTCTGTTGTCCAGGCTGGAGTGTAGTAGTGCCATCACCACTGGCTCCTAGACTGAAGCTACCCTCCCACTTCAACCTCAAGTAATCCTCCCACACCTGTCACCCCAGTGGCTAGGACTGCAGACATGCTCCACCACTTCTGACTAATGTTTTTTATTTTTCGTAGAGATGGGGTCTCACTGTGTTTCCCAGGCTGGTCTCGTCTCAAGTGATTTTTCCACCTTGGTCTCCCATAGTCCTGGGATTACAGGCTTGAGTCTGGCCAAAAAGTTTATTTTTGAGGGACTGGGGAGAGAGTAGAGAAGACTAAAGAGAGGATCAGTTTGATTTTTATCATTTCAAGAAATGTTGAACAATATTCTATGTGAGTGATGTGAGGACACATTGGGGATTTGAAAAGAATGGAGAATGTTTGCAACCTAAGAAAAATATGTAAATATTCAAATTTAAGAATCGCTGCAGAGGTAGGAATAAACTTTTTTATTGTAGGCAAAAAAATTAATCAGTACATTAAGGAAGTAGACCCATCAAAATTGACTGAAGTTGATTTTAACGATGTTCATAGCTTCTTTTCTGAGTCTGATATTATCGAACAAGACAAAAATCACATTTTGGTCCATTGTGTGTTCATGTTGAAGACCAAATGCTTTGAGACATCTCAGAGGTCTGCAGAATCAAAATGATGACAATGAAAAGTAAAACCATCATCATTTATGGTGTTTGTGTTAACATCCACCAGATTCACGATTGCTATTTTGTAGATCCATACCTCTTAAAAAATTTATTAACTTTAATTTCTAATGTAATACATTTCAGTAGTTACACATGAATAACGCTCTCCAGGGTCCTTAATAAGTCCCAGTAAGGAAAAGGAGTATAGGGGTGTTTTTTCTTTTCTTTTTTTATAAAAGCAAAGCTGAAGTGGGCAGAGTGCTGTGGCTCACACCTGTAATTGCAGCACTTTGGAAGCCGAGGCAGGCAGATCACTTGAGATCAGGAGCTTGAGACCAACCTGGACAACTGGCAAAACCCTGTCTCTACTGAAAACAAAAAAATTAGCCGAGCCTGGTGGTGCAGGCCTGTAGTCCCAGCTACTTGAGAGACTGAGGCAGGAGAATTGTTTGAACCAGGGAGGTGGAGGTTGCAGTGAGCCAAGATACTGCCACTGCATTCCAGCCTGGGTGA